TGTGATTATGATTAAGATCAGTAACTTTTGGTGGCAATATGAATATGTCTATAAAACCCGTCAAATTATTACATTTTCATAAATCACGAGGTGATTCATGTGGAACAGCATTAAACGCTGATCTTCCAGTATCATCAAAATGTGAGTGATCTGTTTAGAGGAAAATCTGTCCCAAGTCACAGGAATTATTCAGCACTCGAGAGAACTGGACGTAGAAGCTATATCAGACATCAATACGAACAGGCGTGACGGTGCCACTGATAGGATTCAAATCCAGGACTCCAGAGGAAATGGGGAAGAGAGTTAAATCCTCTGGACACTGATTTCTGGGCTGAAATATAGTAGACCGTTCTCTTGGCGATCTAACGCAACCACACTCTTGTCTCTTTCGACGTTTCGTAAAGTGACATTACAGCATATTTACACGTTTCAAAGTTTTACATTAACGTAATCGTGTGATATACGCAAATGAAACAAAATTAAGTGACATCACAACACTGAATAAAGCTCCGCGTGTTTATCTCTTGTAATGCGGCAGATATCGAAATGGCGTTCTGTCTTTCTTTTTCCCTGAGGCCACCGTAACAGGGACTAGTTGCCTTAATGAGACGGAAAGCTAGTCTTTCATTACTGAAGCAAGAGGAAGTAGAATTTTTATAACGAGATGGCGCACCGCCCACTGAGAACAGCTATGAAGAACTGTTCAAAATGGAAACTTTCCAGCCTTCCAGGTCCCCGGATGTAAAGCCATGTCCTCCGTATTGATCTACGTTTTCTTGTCTCCTCTTTATTTCCGATAGATAGGAGGGGATTTGTGTGATGAAACAAGTATTTAAGTTCATTGTATAGTGACCTTCCTAGTGTTGTCGGTATTAAATAAAATTGTTATGGGTAAGTACTTCTAACGTCAGCCAGAGAGTATAGGATTGATCTTTTTCGTTATAAGAAACGCTAAGTCGTGCCCGCAATACGGTTTCCTAATTATACAAACAAAGACCAAACAGTTTTTCTGACATTCACGATTCTTCGATTGAGGTTTCGACAAGCCATTCCTCTTGCCTGTGTCGATGTCCAAAACCGGAAGTCCTGACCTCCTAACACACCTAAATTCGACATCGGCAACCTTCCGTGGGGAATAAGGAAAGAAAATTTACGACATTCTTGGGCCCGGTCGTCAACCTCAAGGCTCTGTAATCTGATCCAAGTGTTGGTCTTACGTGGCACTAATTGTGAAAGAAGGAAATCTGTTAAAATCTCTAAAGTAAATCTTTGGACCAGTAACACTAGAACTTTACACGCCATTGTGCAGGAAAAGCAAAATAGCTCAGTCACGAATAAGGACCTGGACGATAAGTTGGAGCCCCGATAAGGACGTCTGGCTTTGTCTATTTATCATGACGTCTATAATAAAAACCCCGCTTTCGCTTTGGTAGAATGGCACAAGCATGAAATAAACACGTAAGGGCTTCAATAGCCGAGGAATCCAGTAAGGTTATGTAAGATTCGACCAGACCCTTCCCCTCTCCTCTCTACTGATTTCCCGTGTTGCCTCCCTTCTCCCTTCCCTTCCTGCTCTATACAGCTGGGTTTAATCTCGACATTAGTCTATCTGCACCTACTCACACCGGTTCGTCGCTTGCGGATTTTCTTCTTTTTCTTCTACCTTGAAGATGGAGGCGATACGTTCCTCCGAAACGTCGGTTAACATAATATCTACACGTCGCCACATCCCAGGAAACTGCTTTCTTCAGTGAGGTTATGTTTGGCAAAGAGCAGAAAATCAAGTCTGGTTCTTACTGTTATTCAGATGGTTACATTAGCTAAGAACGCTATATCAGCTTCAAATTGTATTCGACAGCTAATAAGATATTTTAGTGATTCTGTAGTGCAGGTTAAAAATAAAGGCCATACTGGGAAAAATGAGCTCCTTACAGCAATGGTTCTCAACTGGCGGCCGGCCAGTTGTGCCTAAGGGCTCAGAGAGTTGAATGTAGATTACACTCACTCACTCATCACTCACTCATGGAGCTGAGCACTTCTTGAGAAACCGCCAATTACGCAGCTACTCAAGAACTTCCCAGCATTTCATGGAACCCGAAGGTTCATTGCCGTGTTCACAAGAGCCGTTCACGGGTCCCTATCCTGAGCCAGAACAATCCAATTCATACCATCCCATCTTATCTCTCTAAGCTCAATTTTAATATTGTCCACCCACCTACGTCTTGGTCTTCCCAGTGGTCTCTTTCCACCCGGCTTTCCCACCAATATCCTATATACATTCCGCTTCTTCTCAATTCGTGCTAAATTCCCTGCCCCCCTCATCCTCCTTGACTTGATCATTCTAATTACACTTGGAGAAGAGTACAAGTTATGAAGCTCCTCATTATGCAGTTTTCTCCAACCTCCCGTCACTTCATCTCTCTTCGGCCCAAATATTCTCTTTATCACCCTGTTCTCAAACACCCTCAGCCTATGTTCCTTATGCACAAATCTGTAATACTGCAGAACCATATTACCGAAATTTTCAATTTGTTTTTATTAGACATGAAACCACAAACTGCAACTGCGTGAAAAATTAGATATACGAACATGGCAACACCGCCTGGCTCGATGGCGTAGCATCTTTTATCTTCTATTTTCTTTCTAATAGAGAGAACGTCCTTCTGCTGTTAAGAACATTAACTAATGTGTTTAATACCTTGTCATGACAATTAGTTGCACATCAATACAAACTCTAAACTCCGTGGTTTTAGTCCGCAGGCGAACTATACCGACCGAGCGACCGCCGCTTGTCGGTTAAGTTAGTGCCAACTTTAGCGAACAGAGGGTGTCGCGTGGTCAGCGCAACGGATCCCCACGGCCGTTAATTTAGGATCCCTACACCGGAGCCCCTACTTTCTATTCAAATATCTCCTCACTTAACCTCACGAGGCTGAGTGGAAACCGTTCCAGAACCACTACTTCTCAGAAAACCTGGTAGCGCCGGGAATCGAACCCGGGACCTCACAATCTGTAGCCAGGAACTCTGACCACTAGACCATGTACCTGAACGTATTCTTTTCAAATCTTTTATTTGTGCCTTTTTTCTTTTCAATGGTTCTTCTAGCCCAGGCCTCCTATTCAGTTCCCTAATCATTTTTGCACAGTCGGTATGACTCCTTGGGCGGCGTATTAACCCGTCACAAGGCCGCTACCTATACACTGAATAAACGCACACAGATATCCATGCCTCGAGTGGGATTCAAACCCACGATCCCAGTGTTTGAGCGGCGAAAATTAGACCGCGCGGCTACTGTGATCGGCAAAGGAGCAGTTAATCAATAGAATAATTTCATCTTACTGATTCCTAATTCAAATGAATGTATCAGACCATGTAATTTGACAGTTGTGTGTAAAGTTTATTGAGTGTTCTGAAAAGGGTATCAAAGAAGAATAGTTTTCCTCCTTAGAACTAAAAACGCATACCCCTAACGAACGTATCTTCAACGTTTCAAATGAATTCGCCGAGAAAGAAAGGTTTTAGTGGAAATTCTGTGTCCATGTATGTACAGATGGGGCAACAGTAACGTCGGGAAGTCACTCAGAAGTTGTAGATCTAATTAAGAGAATCTCACGCTGATTTGATTGCAACTCGCCGTTTCTTATATCTAATCATATGAAATATTTTCACAAGTAGTTAAAATTGTAAATTTATTTAATAAAGCAAGTGCTGTAAATTCACAACTGTTCTGTGTAATGTGCGAAGAAACGAACTCGCTTTACACTTCGCAAAGATTGCATAACGATATCCGCTTGATTTCGAGAGCAAAAATATTGACAGAAATCATAGAGATGTAAAGAGGGGTGGAAAAAATTTTGAGCGAAAACGAGTCCAATTCAGGGAAGTTTCTGACAGTACCCATTGGATAACGAAACACGTCTATCTGGGTGGCATTTTTAGGAACCTAAATGCCGTAACCTTTACCTGAAATGACAGATAAGCAATATATTTTTCATATACGACAAAATAAATACTTTCAATGGAGAGCTATTGATTTTGTCCCAAAAAACAGGTACAGACACCTACAATTAATATCGACACTTCTGCTGAATACTACGAGACAAATGTGTGATATTTGATGTAAAGAAGACGAAGGCCATAAGGAGAACACACCTGAAAACGCTAACAGCTTTGATGATTGCATCTCGACAACTGAAGACATCTGTAACAAAAGCTAATGAATTCAGAATCTTTTCGTGCGTCAATCTGATATTAAAATTGAAAGTTTGGAACCGAGGTCACTCTGGAAACAACATTTGGCCAGAAATAGCTTCCATGATTTTGAAAAAAAAAAAAAAAAAGAATTAGGCAGGAATATTTTCTTTAATTTAGTTAATGAAGTGAACATGAATTTAATTTTAATTAATTTCTTAACATTTCTCTGCACAAATAACTACTATACTTGAGTCAGTTCAATTCAATAAAATAATGGGTTCCAATTACTGATTGATTAAAGTTGGAAGGATTATTGTACTTCTGACAGAAAATCCTTAGAGCCAGTGTGGACTTAAGGTAGCTCGGGCGGTTAATCGCTGGCTTCCCACCTCGGCGGCCCGGGTTCGAACCTGGGTCTGGTCATGTGGGATTTGTGGTGGACAATGTGGAGCTGGGGTATGTTTTATCCAAGTACTCCGGTTTCCCCTGACAGTTCTCATTCCACCAATTGCTTCACAATCACCATTATCTATCATCTGGGGCTGGTACAATAGGTCGGTAGTGGCCGCAGTACCAAGTGGACTCAGTCTCAGCCCACTAAGAATAATAATAAAAATTATGAAAAATATTGAAGGTGCTGGTACGACCAAGAAACAGGGTTAACCAGCTTCTGGAAGGTATATACATTTTTAATTCAGATAACCATTTAAACAGCGAGTAACAACTAACGCTTTAATTAACCCCTGAGAGGGGTCAAATGATGCAAATATTGCCTGTGTGTAAAGAAATGTTTAAACGTGTGTACCTTAATCTGGTTTTTCCCCGTTTCATGGATTACGCCCGTGGAGTTGTAATGGCCAGGCCTCTGATTTTTCATGCTGACCCTTGACACATCGTCTGCAGACAGTACACTGACTTACTGGCTACGCTGATATCTGGGGGCGTGGCCACATATTCAGATCACAGCCAATCAGCATCTGTGAACATTGTCGTGACATTAGTCTAGTTTAGGTGTGGTCGTAAACAAACAGCCTGTAATTATCACTGAACCACATATTCTGTATGCTGATTAAAGATTCTGTGTGTTTGGTCCCAGCCATCCTGCACTTTTGTAATTAAGAAACAGTTGACATTCTTTAAACTGTTTCATGTCAAAGAGTAGATTACTTTTCATACACACCCTTCTACCTTAATCCGAAACTCAGCTGCCTCCGTAGTCTAGGGGTAACGTTCCCACCTCATGACTCAAGGTACACGGGTTCAAAATCCCGGCGGAGGTCGTGGAATTTTTAAGGGCGGAAAAATTCAGGGAACAAGGGACTTTAAGCCGTGGGTCCCGTGTCATAGATTTACGGCACGTAAAAGAACCTCATGTCTCTAGGAGACCTCTGAGCAAAATTAGGCCAAGTTTCCCGCCCAACTAGTTTCCAATTCCTCCGGTAGATGGGGGAAGTATCAGGTACCATTGCCAGAGGAGGGGGGGACCTCTCTGGCAGAAAGGGACTAAAGTATTAGATACCACTGCCAAGTAGAGGGTAGAAACCTTGCTGACAGAAAGGGACTAGGAACCCCTGCCAGAGGAGGGACGACCTCGCTGACAGAAAGGGACTAACTATTAGATACCACTGCCAGTAAGAGGTTGGAACCTGGCTGGCAGAAAGGGGCTGATAGTAAGCAGCGGTACCGGTAGGGTATGGAGACAGTAGAAATTAAAGGGGACGCACAATGGACCAGTAACCGGTCTAAGTGCATGGGGAAACCCACCCCCTCAATACGGAATACGGAATAATCCGAAACTCGCCAGAAATCCTAACAGCAGACCTAACTGAATCAGTTAAATAAACTCTCAGTACCGGTATGGAAATATCGGGTTTATGGATAGACAATGGCAAGGAAACGAGGAACCACAATCACTTCTAGAGCTATAGTCTAGCTAGGGTGTACTGCGGCGGCACCCTAGTGCTTTCCTTCAGCGCCGGGCGACGCCACTGACAAAACAAAAACAGACTCCATTGTTTCAGTCCACAAACGAACTATACCGACCAAGCGACCGCTGCTTGTAGGTGAAGTTAGTGCCATCTTTAGCAGATAGAGGGTGTCGCGTGGTCAGCGTAACGGAGCCCCACGGCCGTTAATCTCGGTTTTCTAGACCGTAGCCGCTGTTTCCTTGAAATAGCTCCTCAATTATCCTCACGAGGTTGAGTGGACCCCGTTCCAGACCCACTACTTCTCAGAAAATCTGGTAGCGCTGGGAATCGAACCCGGACCTCTGGATTTGTAGCCAGGAGCTCTGACCAATAGACCACGGAGGCGCCCCCACTGACGTGGAAAATTAATTTCACGTAGCTTTCCAACTTTCTGCCTATGAGGTGAAACCATAAGCTACGTTTTTATATTATGTGAGATTCGTGAGCTGTCTGTTGTTCACTACTGTATTCAACAGTGTACATCAGAGGCAGCCGAACTTACCGCATTTGAAATTTGTCGGAAGGTCAGGAGTCGCAAACAGGCACGGACGGGGTGACCATAATTTTTCCAAAGCACGTCTTAAAACCAAATTTTTATTTTTCATTTTATGTATTCAGTACCTTGCATAACAGAGTAAAAGAAAGGTAAAGGCAAAGATAAAGCTATCCCTATAACAGGCCGTGGAGGCCCGTAGGGTTGTGAGACGTCGAGGCTTCCACATTTTCTAGACAATCGGATCACAGATGGTGGTGGGGTTGCCAGCCTTGGGCGCCGGCCACCTTTTACCCCCAGGAAGATTCCTGGTAGTCATTTCTGTTAGTGGCTGAGTCCACCCCAGGGTAATATTGGGCTGGAAGGATTACGTCAATCGAAAATCCTCATTAAGAATCGAACCCACGACCTTCTGGCTTGTAGCATACTGCCTCAACCAATTACGCCACGGCCTACTATTTCATGAGAAAATAGTAAAATCAAATTAAAATCAAGCTTAACGTACGTCAGTAGCAGTATTTATTACTACAGCAGTATCAAATGTGCCACAAATTCTTGAAATAAATTTAAATTCATCATTTCCCCGACATGTTCGGAGATTTACATACTTCGTAAAACAAAAGCATTTTTTCATGATTGTGAAAATTTCAGATAATCTTAAAAATTTTAAAATAGTTTTCATAAAGCACTCTTACATATAGAACAACATAATGCATTACAAGCAACGTGTGCAATCCGACCGTTCGTGTTTCAAACGCGTGTATGGATCCATACGGCTGATGGCGTGCTCAATGGATCCCGAGATGTTCATTATGGATTACAACGGCACACAATTCAACGTAAAAAAATATTCACATCACTAAATTTTCATTAATAAGAAATTAGTAATTTAAATATTGTTTTTATAAGAAATAGTAATATGAATTAAAAAAAATAAAGTTGTCCCTGTGTTTAACTACTTATGTACTACGCCATGAAGGTTTATGGGGGAATGGACGTATAGATCCACATCTTTTTAACCTTGGTACTATTTTGAGGTGAGTGGCCAGTTTCACGCCGCGGTAACTCAACCCCCGGTACCCACTGGATAGGAGGCTGAGTGGGCGGCAGAGACTATCTGGACGACGTGGAGAAAAGAAAATTCTTGACCGAACCGAGACTCGAACTCCGGCCTCTCGGTCATAATACCACATTTAAACCACACTTAACTTGTTTGCATGCAGGTTCTGAGGTTTTCACAGAGGTGGTTCCGAAGAGACGTGGGATATAACCCCGTGTAGTCCGTGTAGCAACTTAGGGAACTTATTATTTTTAGATCACCCCAACTTATGCAAGCAATTAAGGTAGGCAGTGCTCGTTACTGCTTCTGATAAAGATAATTGGAGACAAGGTACAGGCAAGTGGACAGTTTTATGATTACGCGCTAAAGGATCAGTAAGAGGTTAATCTAAACATTTAAAAATTAAATTCCTATCACACAGAAAACACGCAGTCTCTATTAGACCTACAAAGTACATCTGATAACGCATTTTATTTAAGATCGTGCTCCATGCAGAAGTGTAGCTGCGGCCAGAATGTTAATCCAGTGGTACTGCGTATACCAGAAGACGGAACAACAGACACGTGACTCTTGCGCAACTGAACATCTCGCGCTACAAGCATACGGTCACTTCCGTTAAGTAAGAAACATACATACCTGTACAGGAAGCAGTGCTGTAAGTCTTTCATTCCATCGAGCTGGTCCAGCACAAATGAAAGCAGCCATGAACGAGAACTGAACTCAGATCGTGGGAGATTTCGTAAGTCGTTTGTTTCGTTGAACATTGCATTCAAAACGTAACGTGACAAGTAAAAACGTTAGTGAAAACTGTGAGTGTAATAATGCGCCGTAATGAAAGTCATAACAATGAAAATGACTGAGATCGTTTGTCGTAGGCTATTGAAATTCATACACAACTTACTAAACAGTCCAGTTTATCACAACATCAAGTTAATTTTCAACGAGAAAACAAGGAAATACGTAAGTTAACAAGGATTGAACACTGTCAGTTCCCCCAAATCGACGTAGGTATGTGAGTATGTAAAAGACCTGATATTGGTTACAAAGACAATAAATCTTAAAATTCAGCTAATTCAGTTGATCACTTTATAAAGATATATGTCGAAAATTACGAAAAACTTAAATTCGCTTATCAATATCCAAACGAAATCTTAAAGAAGGTTTGTAACAGCGAAACGGACATATATTTACAGTTCTGGTTATAACAAATATATTACATAGAATATCGGTAATATAATTCCTGCCAGGATCTTATTAAAAAACTCTATTAGGACGTAATATCACAGGATTTCACCGACGACAACAAAGTCGCCAATGTACTCGTATTTTCTTAATGCTACAATTAAAAGCATCACCAGGCATATACACAAATTTTCTTGACAAGTTGACTCACTCGTCAGTGTTTTCGTGGAGGCGTACGCTGGTGCTCATAGGCCTACTATACAGAATAAGTTCATATGTCTGTCGCAAATATAAATCCGCACCTAGTTAAGCATTTTGCATTTAAAACGGAATAACAGAAGCAACACGCCAAACTATCAATGAAGCTAAAATACGTGACAAGTCAATAGAGCTCTGAAGAATACTGGAACAGACCAGGGATTTCAAAATTCTCAAACCTTAGAGTTATAAAACGCCAAGTCACGTCTCTTATAATCTGTTGTGGTTAACATGCGCTGGAAAGAAGTTGTTTAAATCTGATAGTGGAATACACGACTGTCACCAAGATACTAGTAGTACATGCACGAATCGCTTGCTGCCGCGGCCACTCCGAGCGTGTGACTGTTAGCTGCCGCGATGTTTTTACCGCGTCGTAGCGGATTACAAACAAAAGCCGCGCTATTTGCGTGGAAGCTCGTCTTTCTCTTGCAAGAAATCGACAGCCGGACTGCATGAAGAAATATGTGTTTCGCTGACTATGTGAACTACTTTAAATTCATATTCATACTAACCTTTAGCGACCGGGGCGTGGAGCTGACCATTCACCTCAAACTAGCGCAGAGGTCAAGAAAATGTGGATCTATACATCTAAGCCTTCATGGTTTAGTTCATAATTAGTTAAGCACAGGGACAACTTTACATTACCCACCTTTAGCCTTTCAATTCCAGTTTCAATCATTAATGGGTCCAGTTCTAAAATATGAGGACGTCAGAAAAAGACTAATTTCGAGTCTCGGTCCAGAGATGCCAGAGGTATTCGAAAATCGACGGTACTCAGAATTCAGAAGTAAAGCAGTTTATTGTGTGCACGTTCAATAACCTGTAGTAGCTAGTAGTGTGTTCCATCCCTTCCTTCTCAGAATCAACTTCTTATTAGGGTAAAAATTGTTGATGCCAAGGCTGGAAGGGTCAAATCCCTTTACTTAACATGACCTGTCATTATCGTGATGTTTTTTTTTTGTCTCCACAGAGTCCAGACCGGGTCTGGGACCCACCAAGCCTCCTATCCAAAGGACACTAGGGACTCCTCCCCATGGCGTAGAGCGGAAGGGGTCATGAAGATGACCACATCATATCTAATGCCAAGGTTAAGCATGGTGGAGCTATAAAGCCGCTCCCCATACATCTCCATGGCGAGGTGCTTAATTAGTTAGGCACCGAGTAAAATTATGGCTTTACTTTACCTGTTATCAAGAGGTCATTCGCGGATGGCACTCACGCGCTTCAATATTTACAATTTAATTATTAATCATATAATTTGGCACTAACTCNTGGATAAGTAAGCACCTGAAGATGGCATTATTATGCCGAAACATGTAGTGCGAGGAAGAGAAGGAGATAAATGAGTGTATGCACTGCAAGACGGATTAAATAAATCATGGACTTAAATCAGTGCAACAGGACGCTAAAATATAACATTAATTCCTGACGTTAACTTGTTTGATGACAGAGACCTCCGTCCTGCATACAGAGTGGCGCCTAACTGTGGATATAATTCAATGTATTGCCATATATCCGTCTTCCATTCACGAACATTTGTGTCGAATTGCAGCACATCCTGCTGGATGTATAATAAGTGTAAACTCCCTACAACAGTCCAATTGCGAAAGCAATGGTGATCCTTGAAAGCAGCCAGACGGGGTAATAGAACTATTTATTTTAACAATATACGGGCATACTACTCGTGTTTCATATACTCTGTTCAGAGTACTAACATAAAAACGTTGAATTTGAGCTTTTTGTACAATGTTTAAGCATTTAAATTTGAAAATCTCAAAGTTAGCACAAAATGTTCATGCAGGTATCTGACATCTAGCGTGTAACGAATTAACTATTGTGACGCAGCCTTGTGCTACTACAGTATGCACGTATATATACAGAATGTCTACAAAAGGTCTGACACATTTTGATCTTTAATAATTCGGGAAATAACAAAGATAGAAATAAACCTTTAGCAATGATAGAAAGATCAACTCAAAAAGTATATTTTCTTCTTTACAGGTCACGAACGTGTTCATAGCTGTCAGTACAGTCTTCATTGTTGAGAAAATGGCGACCCCGCATGAGAGAGCGCAAAGAGTGGTGTGGTTTTGTGAAACGAAATCGGTGACACAAACGCAGAAGAACTTCAGAACACATTACCAGAAAGATCCTCCTTTTAGAAACAGTATCGTAGACTGGAAAAAATAAATTTTTAGAAACAGGAAGTGTACTCAGTAAGAAGAGTCCCGGACGTCCCAGCACAAGCAATGATGATACTTATTTACTCATGGAGCTGAGCTCTTCTAGAGGAGCCGCCAATTCTGCAGCTACTCAAGAATTTCCCAGCATTTTATGGAACCCGAAGGTTCATTACCGTGTTCACAAAAGCCTCCAGGGGTTCATATCCTGAGCCAGGTCAATCCAGTCCAGACCAGACCATCCTATCTCTCTAAGATCCATTTTAATATTGTCCATCCACCTACGCCTTGGTCTTCAGAGTGGTCTCTTTCCTTCTGGCTTTCCCACCAATATCCTATATGCATTCCTCGTCTCCCCCATTCGTGCTACATGCCCTGCTCACCTCATCCTCCTTGACTTGATCATTCTAATTATACTTGGAGAAGAGTACAACTTATGAAGTTCCTCATTATGCAGTTTTCTCCAAACTTCCTGTCGTTTCATCTCTCTTCGTTCAAAATATTCTCCTCAACACCCTCTTCTCAAATACCCTCAGCCTATGTTCCTCCCTTAATGTCAGAGCCCAAGTTTCACACTCATACAGAACCCAAAGAAAAATTATAGTTTTGTATACTGTAATTTTTATGTTTTTGGACAGCAGACGAGAAGACAAAAGGTTCTGGACTGAATGGTAGTAAGCATTATCCGAGATCAATCTCCTCTTAATTTCCTCCTGAATCAGGTTTTGATTTGTTATCGTTGTTCCCAAATATCTGTTCTGTGCCACATTTTCAAAATATGTTTCCTATCTTTATGTCAAGATTTTGTCCTGCATTTTGGTGGCGAGACAGTAACATATACGGATATACCTGGTTTTCTCTGTAACACACAAACTTTAATTGACGCAAGTAAGAAGGTTGGTCTAGAAGTAAACACAGAGAAAACTAAGTATATGTTGCTGTCTCGTCACCGTATATAAGACCGCCTCTCTGGTCTAGTGGTCAGAGTTCCTGCCTACAGATCCAGAGGTCCCGAATTCGATTCCCGGCGTTACCAGATTTTCTGAGACGTCGTGGATCTGGAACGGGGTCCACTCAGCCTCGTGAGGATAAATGAGGAGCTACTTGAATGGAGAAGTAGCGGCTCCGGTCTAGAAAACAGAAATTAACGATCCTGGTGATGTTTTCTATCGTAGAAAGAATATTGTAAATACAAAAAAAAAATGCCTAGGCAGTGCCCATCCGGACTTACCACGAGGCACCCTCTATCCGCTAAAGTTGGTACTAACTTCGCCGATAAGCGGCGGTCGCTCGGTCGGTATAGTTCGCTTGCGGACTAAAGCCATGGAACTTAGTTAGCATATATATATGGGGGAACGCGGTAGCGTAGTTGATTGAGGCACTATGCTACAAGCCGGAAGGTCGCGGGATCGAATCCCGATGATTTCATTGATTTTTTCAATTTACCTAATCCTTCCGGCCGTACTATGGCCCTGGGCTCGACTCAGTCTCTAACAGGAATATTCTTGGAATATTCTTGGGGGTAAAGGGCGGCTGGCTCGTAGGGCTGATAAGCTTACCGCCACCTATGGGCCGATTGTCTAGAAAATGTGGGAACCTCAAACGTCTCACAACCTGTATATAGGATATATATACATGGGTGGGGGTTTAGATTCTCTTGGTTGTATATTTTTAGTGTTTGTTGCTGTTTCATTTGTCTCGTTTGTTTGCGTATCCTCGTCTGAGGGCCGTGAGAGCTCTTATATCAGTTTTGGGTATTAATGAGAAAAGGATTTTCTTCCGTTGTTGTTTCTGTCGTTTGGTAAGACCTTTTCCTTTTCTCTACCTGCTGGCTCATCTTGGGTCATTTTTGTTATTGCTTACTGATGGAGTTCTGTTAATTGTTGTTTGTTTCAGAGACATCACATTGCAGCTGGTTTGTTGAAACTGGTATGGTGGTACTGGGCCTGTGAATGTCTGTCGCATTACCTGTTGCTGTGGGTACGATCCAGTCCCGGTGGTCCCGGTGCTGTCCATATGCCGGCAGCTTCACAAAAAGGTAGTTTATCAGTTTTTTCTGCAGTTTCAGTAGAAAACAAAATTAATTAATATATTCTAACACAACATTAAGTCTACTCAGTCAGCTTTCACTATTCGTTGCTAGGTTATCACCGTTATCACTATTCACGTCTTCACTCTTCGAGCTCCACTTGATCCCTTGATTATTTTGCGTAGCTTATCTGTGGCCATTTCTGGTTAGAGACAGGAAGTTAATCACGTTGTTTTGTGGTGCACATTTTGTACATATGAATCATAGTTTTTAAAGATTGGTTAATGGAAGATGGCAGGGATGGAAAGCTATCCGAGACATTCATATGAAAGTATTTCAGATCGTCCAATTCAGAGTAGATATGAAAGTGATGAGGTTTTGCGTTTCTCTGGTGGTGCATCCCGAGAACGGTTTTCTCCTAAAAGTTTTGAAGATGCATCCCAAAAGGATGACGGTGAGTCCATTTAAGTATTTTCGTACGTTTATGTATTTTCATATAGGTTAATTGGGTGAGTTATCTCTGCCACAAGATGTGGCGTACCATGTAACCTTTTCCGCCATGGACGTACTTTAACAGTAGGACATTTGTAGGTTAAGGCTGAATGACCAAGGAGATTTTATGTGTGCATATGGGATATATGCGTACTATGTATTTGAAAACATGTCTTGGAAGTTTATAGTCTTAACATCTACAAAGTAAGATTCAGAAGAGTTAAATTTTATGAAATAGCGTTTAAGTTTTTATGTTTACTTTACTGTAATTTTTAACCCGCTGCTAACCATGAGAGTATGGTATCATGTGTATCAGCCCCCCCCCCCCCCCTAATAACTATGAACCAGTTGAGTGTAATGCCACTGAAAGTACCATAGGTTTGTTTTAAATTCCATGTCTTCACTAATATTGGCATTACAACTTAAGGTAGGAACCATTACTAACGATTCTTAATAAAAGCTTTGATGTGACATCCCTCGGCCTCCACATTAGTGTCCATTGTCATGTCTGTGAAATGAAATATAACAATTACAGGATGATGCATACTGCTTGTGCCTGTTTACCTCAATATGTGATCTACTTGTTACTCTTTCCATTTCAAGTAATCTGTCCTCTGACTCTGGCCTTTCTGCTCTTAAATTTGGTAATTTTTAAGTCGAATTAAAGGCCTCAAAATATTCAAGTATTTCATTTGTACATAAGCCATTCTTTTTGTATGTTCTAAATGAACATCGGTTTATTTAATTAAATATCAATAAAATCAGCATAGTTTAAAACAAGGATATAAATTTGTGGAAGAAGTATTTCATGTCATAATCAGTTTTAGTATATAATTAGCGATTAACAAAGTGATAGTATTTTATCTGAGCATTAGACATGCTTGTGTATATGCTCCCACCTCAGATTCCATTACACATTTCTTTTGTCAGAAATCTTTGTAACTAGGGAAAAGATGTCTGAGTTAAACATTTCAGATATTGTGCTTGCAAAAATCATTGTAATATTCAAGTTACATTTCTTATGAAAATACATATTTTGGGCTGTATGAATAAAACTGAATAGTAATGGAGAATGAATGACTATTTCACACATCTGTGCAACCTGTTATCAGACTGTTAAGATAAGTGATGTATGTCATTCAGTGAGTATGTTTCCTTCCTTGGATGTGGGGATCTCCCACTCAGGGTTACAGCAGTTTAAGTGTAGATGAGCATAAATGACTCATGTTCATGTTATGTCTAGTCAGTCAGTAAATCAGTAGGGCAGTTATAACCACTGCTGTTGGGTACTAAGTATTGGCCCCTACAGTTCTTCACGCAGCTTTTCAACAGTACCAATTTTCTAATGTAACTGTGGTAAAGCAGTTGAGATTAGTTTACAGAAATGGGAAAAGTAGAATTTAGTGCCAGTTCCTATTTACATCAGGGTGTTAATTAACGAAAGGATATCTTCACTACTGGTGGTTAGGTTCTCTTTTGTTAGGCACGTATAAGATCTGTTTTTGCACAGCAGTGTTCTCAAGTTACACTGCATTTAACAGTATTTTTTTTATTGCTAGTGGAGTGGGACAAAGTCCCTTGAACTGCGGCCACATCTGGCCTCTTGTACCAGCCCCATATGATAGGTGAGGGTGATTGTGGAGCAATTGGTGGAATGAAGATTGGCAGGGGAAACTGAAGTACTCAGAGAAAACCTGCCCAAGCGCCACTTTGTCCACCACAAATCC